TTGACGGGATTGGCTTTGTGGTACTCCTTGATCATGTAAAGAAACTCGTGTGGCGTCCTGGGCGGCTCGCACCGATGTGAGGGTCTAGCACTTTCGTAAGGAGTATAACACGATGTCAGCTTATCAGTCCTTACGGGCGACATCGTTTTGTTTCTGTCAAGGAAGGAAGAGTAAAGTACTATGAGTCCTCCAAGGTAGTACGTAACATCTTGATATATGGGTAATTATTAGATGTCTCGCGCTGAGCAAGAAATGAAAGACCAGTAAACCCGCGCAGATACCAACGATCAGAGACAATCCCCGAAGGCCGTAAAACATAGCGACTTTGCTTTTCCTACAGCATCCAATGTTAAATTCACTAACTAAGCTGACATACCAAGAGATTCAGTCTACATGAGAACCTACATTACCATCTTTTCGCGTTCCAAATCCCAATCCATAACTTCCTGTTTGGTCGGCCAATACAACGGCACACTCCAGTTAAATCGAACAGCGTCAAATCGTCCTAGATCCAATGGCAGTTGAAGAAAGCGAGGCGCATTGCGTTCCAGTGAGCTTGCTATCCGATGCCACGCTAGTCCATGGCCTCTCAGTGATTTGACATTTTTCTCAAATGATGGACAGCGGCAAGCGTAATGATTCAGATGAGCATGTGTTAGCTCGTGAAGAAGTGTACCCAACCGGGCTATGGCCCGGCCATTTAAGTGCTTATGATCGGGCACAGTGCGGCAGCTATAAGCCGACAGTGTGATTTTCGGCGGTTTGAGTCCAGGATGCCAATATTGACCGTAAACCTCTCGGCCTGATGTTGAAGTTATCCAGTCAAAGTCCAGTAGCATGGTTCCGTCACGAAAGAAGATCTTTGATAATAATCGGATCAGGGACTTCATGTCGGCTTTTGAGATGTTACGTGCATTCGTCTCGCCGATTTCCCGCAACAAGGGTTCCCTTTTGTCTTCTAGTAGCTTTTTGAAGCAATCAATTGCTCGCAGCTGCTCATTCGTAGCATTCTCAGGACCTGCTGCCATAATGTCCTCGATTCGGCTGGAAAGTCGAAGAGCAGAGTGGCTTTTCCATCGTAGTGGGTCGTACACACGTGTTTGGTTTCCCAGCTTATTGGTACGCTTCACAGAAGGAATGGCTTTGTCGCAGGAATCTCGGCATTTCGCATCGGTTCTGCAGTTTTCGAATCGCTGTAGGCGGGTTTCTCTGTGATGATCGACGACCATGTCGATATATTCCTGCGGTGTAGTTGGAGGAGATGGAAGATCCTGGGAAGTCATAGACATGTTGTAAGTACCAGAGTCTTTGCACATGATGAATCTCGTTGTTTCCTTCCTGCAGAGACGAGCTATGTGGGTGATGATTCGTTGAGCGGCTTACTTGTGATGACCTCGCATGTTGACTATATACGGTGCTGGGCCGCAAAGTCTCACACCGTGTGAGACGCCCAAAAGCTCGGCCACAGCACATCGTATCGGATCGAGACATTGGCTTCCTATAATGATGCAGCTCAGTCCGAAACACATTGTTCGAAGCTCTGAGAGACTTCCCCTCACGAGGGTCACAGCTGGAATGGTCTGGAGTCGCGTACCACAGATAATCACAAAGGATTAAGCAAACAGGTCTTCAGATATGGAGTAGGAATCATTTGCGCCTTGTTCAGCCTCTACCTATCACCGGATACTCTACTATGGCTTCAAATGGACAGAACAACACTCATCCACCCATAGAACCTCTAAAAGAACCCAAAGCAGTCTTCTACGACCGCCTCCTAGCCCGAACCTTCGTCAAAGATTGCCTCTGCGAGGATTGCGCAAGAGATCATTACCTAAACTACCCCTACTCTTGCTACCTAAATCATCCCCCAAACGAGATCCCCATCCTACCCGGCCAGCGACCCACTATCATCTACAACTCCCGAATGAGATCGGGACGATACGAAGCCCTCCAACTAGCCCGCAGCTCCATCCAATACTTCAGCAGACCACGAAAGGAACTGGATATCGGGCAAATCCGATCTGCATCGGAGATACAGAAATGGCTCTACCATAAAGATCTAATCGCGAGACTTGGGTCGCATGATACACGTGGCACTCTGACCGTCGATGATATGAAAGCACTGATTAAGCATTTGCTATGTGTATTCTTCTTTGGCGCCATAATCCCGTTTGACTTCGCCTGGCACAGCCATTACCTGGAAACCAATGTCAACTCGATCGGCGTCACCGTGACGGAAAATCGTAACGGCGAGGATGTTCAATGTATTGCCATGCATCCTACAAAAGTCATAATGAGCGGGAGTCCCGATCGCGACTTTACCAGAGCTTTGGCGATACAGCGGCTTTCTACGTTAATGCATGAGCTTATACATGCTGTGATTCTAGCACTGTGTTGTAGGGCTTGCCGTGCTGCGAATGACAATTTGGCACACCATGGGAGGGCGTGGCAGAGGTTGGCGCTGGGTGTTGAGGCGCAGTTCGCGAGTTTGTTTGGGTTGAGCCTCGACTTGGGCAGGATGGATGGGGCCTTCCATGATATGAAGAATGCTGGGGCCAAGTTCCACTATCCGAGTAGACATGATTTGGAGGTCTTTGGGTTTGTGGAGCCGCGGAGGGTGGGAACGGATATGCCGGGCGGTGGATGATGTGGACATCCTCGGTAAGGTAATGCAAACATGCTCCAGAACTCAATGGAAGCTGCGGCCTGAACGTAGAAGGATATCATTACAAAAGCCATACCAGCCGTCTAAAACTCCGTTTCGTGAATATAGCGCCGACCCAATGCAATGCAAGTCTACTCATCCATCTCCGTCAACAACACCCCTTCTCCCCACTACCACTGCCACCGCCCATCCCCCAGACCTCCAAATCATGCACACTCGGCAGTCCACCACCCTCACACTCGCTCAACGCACTCTGCCACCTCCCCAAATCAACATTCCCACCCACCACAACCGCGGCAACCTGTTCCACCTTCCTCGCCAAAACCTGCCACGCCCTCCCATGCCCCCTCTCGCCTATACAAGCCGCCCACATGGGACAACTCCGACACGTATACGCTTTCAGAAAAGCATGAATCATCTCATGCAAAAGTGTACCTAGCCTTGACTTCATCCGCGCTTGCTGCGTCTGTGTCGGTGTATCCAACGGCCTGTATCCACGATACAGCATAGGATGAAGGAGAACCTGCGTACCTACTACAGGGTTGTAGAAACTCTTTCCGAAACAATCTCTTTGTCGGGAATCTAGGTAGCTGAATCCGGCGCTGAGCAAGTCGTTGTGCGTGGGTACGTTTCCGGCGAAGAAAACGCGGTTGAGATGCGCGAAGAGCGTTGTTACTTGGCGTGCGGAGAGCGTGGAGCGTAGGTCGTGCGATGTGAGATGCGGGTACCAATATGAGAGTAGACTGCGCAAGTGGAGGACGGAGGGCGTGGGGCGCGCGGACGGGTGCAGGTATGTTGCGTCGAGCCAGGAAATGTGGTGCCGGACCAAGGACATGGATTCGTAGGTCCCGTGGAAGCGGAGGGTTAATGACGGCGCTGGGCTGGTGGGTTTAGGCACCTTTTCGGAGGAGAAAGAGGGGGTTTTGCGGTGTTGGGTTTTGGAGGTGTGTTTGTTGCGACGGTCGCGGAGCGCGCCGTGGGAAGCCAAGGTGGAGATTTTGTAGAGTTTCGGCGCGCATTCGTCGCACGTACACGGGAGGTCTGCTTCTTGGACGTGGGCTTGGAGTTGGGTGAGCGATTTGGGCGGCGTCGTTGATATGGGAGCGTAGTCATCGGTGTGGGATATCGTTGGGTTGCGGCCTAAGATGCGATCTTCGATGAAGGACAGTTTCGGGTCCAGGGCAAAGAGCGGTTCGAGGAAGGGGAGGAGATTGTGCCATGTTGATGCGCCGTGGCACGTTTTCCCTTCTTCTAGCTGATCGCCGAGACGTCGGGCGTCGTTCTGTTTCCTCTGATGTTTTTCCCCATCGCCAAGAATAAACTTCGCGATGCGCCGGATGGGATGGAGTCGTCTTCTCTTCTTTTCCGACTTCTTTGTCTTCTTTGCAAGATTGCTTGCATCGTGCGTTTCCAGAACTGACGGATTCCCCATGGGGTAGACGTAATATTAATGGGCTAATGTACAGGGTTATAAATTCGACATGATTGAAGGAAAAGAAAAGAGTAACCCAAATCCGAGATTCGGCCCATGGGAAAGACGTGACAGCCGTTTTGGGGACATGGTGCCCTAACCGAACAGTGAGGCGGTAAGGGTAGTAAGATTGAAGGATTCGGATGCACAGCAGGGGTGGGCTATCTGTCGCGATTGCGAGGCATGCTGCGCACAGACGGTCAGGGTCGTCTGAGGATCGGGACGAGGGTTCGTTGTGGCAGGTGATGCCGATACGATGCCAGGCAGGTTTGGAGAACTGCAATCCAAGACATGATGGACACTTGTTCTGCGAGTACAGGTGTGTCGAGGCTATGTTTGGGGCCGCAGCTTATCGCCGGTACGCGCGTTTCGTGAATGAGAACGGGCATCTCGGAAATCCTGCCCTGGGTTGTGACGGAAGTTGCACAAAGACAACGGTCCGATACTGGGAAGGGGGGTGTGGCTGTTCATTTCTCGCACGCCACGTGGCGCAGTGTGGAGTGTGCATGCATGACAGACGTTATGTTATCAGGGTCTTTTCTAGGTTCCGCTTCCGCTTATCCGACCCCTGTTCTGTGAAACGTCGCGCACGTACACCCGGTCGTGCGTCAACTCTTTCTTCGAGTCAGCCGAATGACGCTTCTTCAAGGTTATATCCGGTTTCTTCTGCGTCGTCTTTCAGTGTCAGAGTCTCTTTCGTCGTCGTTGCTGTCGTCAGGCGGCTGCGTTCCCAGGTTGTGGCACCGATCGTTGTTGCGCGGGAGGGGCTGGCGATGACGCACGCTGTGTTCTGCTGTGCAGTGGCCTTGGGATCGAGGTGTACTTCCGCGCCGGTAGGCCGGTCATTCTAGCACCGACCGAGATCTAATCACCCGACACATCTTGACCGTCTTAGGGTGAAGTAGGTAAGGCTTCTTGAATGCCATGCGTCCAACAACGGTATCAGCGAGGCTGAACTCGTCCCAATCCAAACGCCCTCTTGACTTTATGCCAAGTTTCTCTTCATCGCAAGTGAGGCTGAGGCATCGATCCAAATCCATGCGTAGTCCCAACAAATTGGAGCTGACATGCTCTAACTCTAGGGCCAATTGCTGCCAGGCCATGCCATGACTGACCCTGCTGTGGCAGTTTTCACAGATATGTCTGCAGAAGAAAGCGTGGCAGAGCTCGTGGAGGAGCGTACCAAGGCGACCTTGCCTTCGTTTGTCAAAGACTTTTGGAAAAACCCAGTGGTTCAGTGGATTGATGACGTTAGGATCTAATTTGATCAGGCAGCCGTAGCTTTTGTGTATTGTCACCCCAAGAATGTTCCATTTGTTCTTGTCGTGATCGTCTACCCAGTCAAACTGGACTTGAAATGAGGGTTGAGGAGGAACAAGTTCCGCGTCGAAGAACGTCTCCGATAGGTCGTTCAGGAGGCCTGTCATCTCCTCTTCAGATAGAGTCTTTCGCAAGTCTTTCGCGTCGAGACGCTCCTTCCAGTTGCTGATCAAGTCATTGAGACGACGCACCCTGGCTGCCATCTCTTCATTGGGTTTTCCAAAGTGTGTGCTGTGAAGCCAACGGATGTGCTGTTCTACTAGTAGGGTGGGTTCCGTGCAACCAGACGTGCAAGGAGGCTCGGGAGTAATCGCCTCTTCTTCAGGCGCATGGCGTTTGCCAGATCGTTTCTTGAACCACGTTTTGCTGAATTTGGAGAGAGACATCGTGTTTGGCTTCTGGCTCTTGTAAGAATACAATGTTAAGATGTAATATTGCGAGAGTTGAAAATGTCTTCATCCTTCCTTCGCAATTTTATATTACTACATCCAGTATTTCTGCTCCAGCGCAATGGGTCCCATCGTGGGTAACTCTGGTCGCTTTGCATCGATACCAAATACACAAGCTTTGCACATCGCGCATGCTGAGTATTTGCGATCATAGCGTGTGGTTTGGTGGGAGTCGGTCGTGACAACCAAGGATCGCTGACTTTGGTACCAATCTCTTAATGAATTTTCGCATCCTGCAAATCATAGGATGGTTGCACAAGTTGCAAACGAAATCCTTGCCCACCGAAGCCTAGCAGGAGCACATTGATTGCCAGCATAATCTCTGCAGGGTTGTCGAACCGAAAATGTGTTGTAGTTGCCGTTTGGGATCTTTCGAGTGCCCACATGTACACGCTACGATGCGCGCATGAACACTTGTGCTGGTACATTACATTCAGAAAGTATCATCAGACTTGCGCGCAGAGGACGACAGTCGCAAACCTGCGCGCACATACTGTCCTCCCCTTCGATCGATAAGACCCCGCGTAATCAGGCAGGAGTCATTTCGGAGACGAGGGTGAATTTGCGCACAGCGCTTCGTTGCTCGTAACCAAATCTAGATAGATGAGGATTCCGCTAACTCATATGTAGAGTGAAGAGCAGGTAATAGCGCATGAGTAATCGCTCCGTCATTTGGTAGCTTTAAGAGGGTCTTGTAGCTCTACGAAAAACCAAGGACATGGTCGAAAGAGCGACTCCATGTATCAGTGCATGCAGCGCTGACGAATGCCCAGTTTGATGCGAGGCTACATTTTGTTAGCAAGACTAGATCACCTCTTGTATGTATACGAGTCCGCGAGATGGAGGCGCTGATTGCTGGGTCTCGTCAAGTTTCTGTGGACAGAACGCAAGGTGAGTGCGGTCGGCATGCCCGACGTACATTACGCGCGAGCATAGCATGCAATGAGACTTGGCGATGGGGCCAGACAGTGCGGTGTGCATTCTGAGTACGTCCGGCCAAGAAGTAGTTTCTTCAGCCCCCGCCGACTAGACGTCGCGGGGAGTCCGAGAGAGCTGAGGAGCGTGCGATGACATTCATCATTGGTGCATCTCGGACGCACCTCTACGCATGCGTCTGAGCAAATCGATGCCGCAAGCATACAGACCCCATGTCTTTGGCCTCATGAGGCACCAGAGCAGTAGCTATAGACCACTTGCGATGAGATTATTCAGCCCCCAGCTACGGTGTGCATCGGTGACGCCGACTCGATGCAGTGAAGTTTCGAGGAGACAGTAGTTGGAAGACGATTCACGTCGATCCCCGAGTACATTACTGTGCTCCTCATTGCGACAGCAGTTGAGCAGGCATCCGCGATTCGTAAGTAGTTTGAGGCCGCTACAGCTGGTCGAGAGCTGTTTGGTGGTTTCGCGGAGTGGGCGTTCGAGATCGACATGCTCATTTGCGACCCTGACTAGATAAGACGATGTCGAGCTCAGTAAGTGTGAGTAGTGAGCTGGGTTGACTTCAGCTCGGGCAGCGCGACTTGCCGTCGTCCCCAGCGTGATGGTGCGATAGCGATAGCGCGATAGAAACGAAGAAGGTCGCGAAGTATAGCAAGACAGAATTCTAGATCCGGTGTCCATGATTCGCTGCATTGAGCGACGCAGGGACTGATGCTAACGGGGAAGGCGGAGTGGATCCAAGATTCAGGAGCAGAGGGAGATTGGAGGTTACAGCTCAAACAGGTAGGCTCATTCCGGTGAAGGCCTAAAACGAGTCCCGCTGTCGGGTTGTTAGTCCAACGTTGACGAATCACAGACGTGTCGCCCCAGACCTTCGGGTACCTCAAACTGTGGCTTCATGCAAAGTCAGCCACGTCTGACGGGAGAGCACCCTGATCCCCAATGGAACTATCAGGGGTCGCGGTCAGCATCCGGGGCGGATCCACAGGGTGGCGAAAGCCATCCATGGTCGAAGGACCGAAATTAAAGAAAACTTCACATGTAACGTCGGAGCGGATGCTACCCAAGGCCTGTTAGCGTAGTGAACTCGACGGTTCGGAATATTGGATATAGGAAATAAGAAAAGGGAGGTTTGGATAGGAGAGAACAAGAGAAAAAGCCGCCGCGAGTTGCTAGTGGGGACGATGGGACGTGGCATCTCGCGGCGCGTGGTTTCACCAAACGTGTGGATGACCCAGTGTTCAAACTTCAGAGTTGCGTGCGTGGGATTTTGAAGGGTCATGTGTGATGTGCCGGGAATTCCCTACAGCTTCAGCTGCTAAGCAGTGCCGATCCGTGTGATGGGGAGCGCCAGCGGCGATAGTGAGCAGCTCTAGCGACACTGGGCGTGGGAATAAGGATAGCTCGCACTGCAGCTTGACACTGGCGGTTTCCGGGACGTGGTTGAGATCCACCGTCTTGAAGCGGCTTCTGAGGAGCTTCTGCCTCTCCTTCTGGATCGAGGACTAGACGCAGCAGACTGCGCACCTGTTGGCTTTGCTAGAAAACTCCGCAGCCAGTCGATGGGCGCCGATCGCTTCTCCAGATTCCGCATTGTCGGCATCGACGAATGAGAGGTGCCGCGGGCTTTTGGGCTGTGAGGGAGTCCTTGCAGGCTTCCAGAAGGCAGCCCTTGATCCTCGCGTCCAGCTGCCCTCACTCAGCCCTGACTGCTGCCGTCATGTAGTAAGCCGGGAGTGACGATGAAAGTGCGGCAGTTTGGGGGCGTATGACCGCCGCCGTCAATTTGCAGCAAATGCCATAGTGTCCGCATCGACATGTTCCGCGCGATAGGAGAGGAGTATCGCCAGGGAATAGAGATGAAGCATTGGGAGCTAGGCCGGGATTGCAATCCTACTCGAGTGGAGCGGTTGAGGAATGAGGAGTGCAGCGCCAACGGCAAGTGCCCAGTGGCTGCTAGCCAGAAGCATGGTAAACCTGGCCCCGGCGTCCTAGTCTCGCCTTAGTCCCACGCCCCCAAGCCGCGGAACGCCATGGGCAGCGCCTTATAGCATCCTTCGCCGCCGTCATTTGCGTCTCTAGCTCTCTGTCACGACGTTGATAACATACCTACCCCGGCCGACCATCCAGTCTTCACAACAACACAATGGCCAACATGTTCCGCGACTTCTCCTTCGACCCGGCGCCGTCACCTGACTACTCCGCCTACGAAGCTGAGCGGGCAGCTATGAACGTCTCGCCCACGTCACAGGCGATGGACCCGCATTACGCGCCAAATCGCCTTCCCACTCCACCATGCACTATGGGCGACCTCGCTGTTCAACTCAACCAGCAAAGCCTCCGCATCGATACAAGCGTCCGCTGCTATCCTGCTGGTCCTCTTACGCCGGAAAGCGACGATGAGTGCGCGCCTTCCACCAAGCAAGAACAGCAGGCGCGACCCACCTACTCGCGCATCGCAGCTTCCGTTCTCAGGATGCAACGCCAACAGAGCTCGCGCATGCAGTGCAGCTCGTCGCATGCTCGCGATCTCTCCAAGCTGGTTCAGATGATCGAGGAGGAGAAGCAGTGCACCGTCAGCGAGTCGTCTTCGCGAACATCCTCTACATCTTCGACATCAACATGCGCATCTGGCAACTCTGGAGACGACGAGGGCGTCGACATGGACTACGATGTGCCTGCCTCAGGCATCGAGTCACTCGCCAGCATGCCAGTGTGGAAGGCCCACGAAAGGCGCGACAGCTGCGTCCGCGTCACCCGACCTGTGCGCATGCGCAAGCGGTCCAAGGGCAATGGTGTATCGAAGAGGCGGTCATCATAGTACTATCAGTCGAATTTGGTTACATGCATAGCGAACGGCGTTTGGGGTGTCACTACGGGCGCATTATACCACTTGATCTTGCTGGAAACAAGGCAACATTGGACAGGGCCTGGAGATGTATTATTATATTACCATCGGGTGGAAGAGCTCCCTAAGGGTTGAGCCTGGCGTTTAGGGTGCGACAAGCTGAGCGCTGTCGTTACACCCACATACTATATAATCACAACTATCATCAACATGCAACACACTCCCACTATGCTCTTATCGTGACTTATCCGCCTGGCCCAGCGCAGTGTTCCTTTCCCGCGTTGCTGCATGTTCCGCGAACCTGAGCATTGGTAAATTGGTGACCCACATGGCTGTTGATCGCAAGTTCGTAAATTTGTGCCGCATCCGTCCCACCTACAGCCACGACCACAACACCCGCCATGTCTGTCCGCCGGGCGCTGGCACCGCGCTCCATCCACTTGCGCATCGTGCCACGTCCCGCCAATTTATCCGAGAGCCGCGAGATATTTCGCGTCCTCCAACGCTTCGGCGAAATCAGCACCTTCAAGTATCTTCGGGTACGTTTTCACCAATGCGTTTACTCATTCCACACGACCACTCACACTAGGCACAGTACGAATACCAGAATCCCGCCGACAATGTCGCCCTCGCCATCTACCGTGACGAAGCCGCCGCCCAGAGCGCCCTCGACGCCTCACCCCTCCGCTTCGCCCTCGAGAAGCTCATAACCAGCGACACCGATGCCGACGCCCAAATCCAAGCCGCCGAAGAAGACGAAGACGACACGCCCATCCAGCAAACCCCACAGAAAGACGGCATCGACGAGATCCTCCGCCCCTCACAACTCCTAAACCGCACCTTACCCACCCCCACCGGCACCACCGGCACCTCCCCCGCCCCAACACCTCCTTCCAAACCCCTCCCCTTCGACCCCCCACCGCACGCCTCCTCGCAGAAGAAATCCACAAAATGGTTCCAAGTAACTGTCGACCGCTCCCGCGCCGTACACCCCGATTTCATCGAACGCCAGCCCTACTGGAAGCAATTCCACCCGATGAAGAGCATGGCGCAGGTGGATTTGGAAAAGAGCGTGCCGCATGTGGGGCTGAGCGATGTGAGCAAGAGACCGCCGAATGCGTATCGCACTCCAGCAAGAGTGCTCAGGGTGATGAATGAGTATGTGGAGAAGAGGATGCCGAGTTTGAGAGGGATTGTTGAGGGAGGCGAGAATGAGAGGGGCTTTGAGGAGAGGAGGAGGAGGGGGTGAAGATGGATATAACAGCGTCTGTAGGGCGACGAACTGGAATGGTCGTGTTGCGGGTGACACACACATGGAGACATGGTCCCAGCCGACAGCTTCGAAAAGACTGTCTACGCACGATCCCGCGAGACGGCTCGCAGCGAGCTCGGCGGTGAGATCGACTGAAAGCACGCTTCACGGCAGTGATAAAATGTAGGAAAACCGTGATCGGAATGAGGACGCAACACATACCCACGCCTCACTTCTCGAGGAAAGCATACCGCGCTGGATCGTACATTCTCTCAACCTCCAGCACATTTCCCATCGAAACGAAAGCGAACGAACCAAAGCTACGGCAAACTCTCATGCCAACCGACGTTATGAGGACGCATCGCTTTGACTCACACTCTCGAGTTCTCGACCAGACTCCTGATTTAGATGTGATGGTTCCAGCCTTAAGTCGATCCTCGGTTGTTGTACTATCTAGGTAGCACGACCGGGGATCGATTTAAGGCTGGAACAATCTATAACGATAGGGATCTGTATGGTCAAAGGGGGCGCTAGCATGAGACGCAACAGAGTATCCAACCGCGCAACAGCCGGATGACAACTCAGCGACTCCGACGCCCACGTCTAGCATGATGGTAGTCACGCACATGCACCGTATCCACTCCATCCAGCACTCCGACCAGACACTTCCGACAAGCGCCGAACGCTCTTACCGCCGCTTTCTGATTCCTCGACGTAACCTTCACAGGCCGTTGCGAAAGATTCGACCGCGGCGTCGGCGAGCCACATTGCTTCATACACTACACTCCATGAAGCAATACGACTGTCTTCATCGTTCTTTCGACCCTCGTAGCCTGGAAAGGCATTCTGAGGCGGTCAGACACGGGGCGAACAGGAACCCGCACGATCAAACCCTGTGTGAACTGCTCAACAACTGATCCGCATCACGCCCTAGTCACATGATCCACTTCTTCCACATCGTGCACGTGTGCGAAGTGGAACAAGTGGATCATGTGGTTGGGACATGGTGTTTATCAGTCGTGGGGTCAGTTTGAATGGCGGTTTTGTCATTCTGGCTGTGTGCTAAAGCGTCTACACTGTCTTTTGGGGCATCAATAGGTACGGCACCAGCCCATGGGATCAACGAGGTTTGGATTTTGAAACTTGCATTCCTTAGGGGGCCTCACAGAGACTTCAGAGGAGTGCAAGTTCCAAACTTCACACAGCGTTGACCCCATACGCTGGTGTGTACAAGGAGATGGGGTGGTATGGAGCGATGAGCTTTCGGAATAGTTCTTTGGTGGCTGTAGGGCTCTGTATTTGATGCCAACTCTCTTGTACACTCGCACCAAGCTGTAGAACTGAAATTGAGGGTTGAAGTACAGGTTATAAGCATCTCCTGTGCCATGTAAGATGGCAGACAGCGCGCATATCAAACGCGAAGTAGATACAAACGCGATATTTCATGCACTCCAAGATTAGGACAAAGTTGATTGTTGACATTACCACGTATTATTAAATCTACACTTTTGTAGCCATACATCAACTACAAGAAATCCCCCACCTAACCGCACCTCAGACATGAAATAATCAGGCCCTTATACATACATGACGAACCGAAAAAAAATCAGGGGTATAACCTCCACAAACTCCATTACCATGCCACGCTTGAAACGCCAACTTTTGTTCATGACCAAATACGTACATGCGTAATGAAACAAGTATACGAGCCACCAGAACAGACCCATAAAACAGATCTTCATCAGTCACTAAGATCGATAATCTCAACCTCGGCCGGAACTGACCGTCTCGCAGCAACAGGTTCAGGCGTGGCACTCGAAACGCCCTCTCTGACTTCAGCTTTGGGTATCCACTTTCCATCCTGCCTCACCATGATATGGCGCGTATTTGCCCGTCCATGGGCCTCAAGCTGCTTCTTGACCTCTTCCATGAAGCCATCTACAAAAAGCATCTGTGGCCGGGCGTCAGATTTGCAAATGGGGCATTTCCACTGATCGGCTACGGATGCGTCGCCCTTGCGAGGCCGGGATTGGAGGAACGTTTCTAGGTCGAAGCAGTCGTTGTGCGGACAGGCTTTGCTGCGGACGGGGATGTCGCACATTTTGGCTTGGCTGAAGGGGTCGAAGAGGCCGATGGTGAGGGTGCTTTCGACGACGCTGATCTCGTCGTCGTCGACGGCGGAGAGTTTGTTTTTGATGCCTTGCAGGACTTTGTCTGCGGGGACGCGACTCTGGTTTAGACAGTGTTTTACGATGGACTCGTGGGATGAGACAACCATGGCCTCGATGGCGAGCATGTAGTTGAGATGAGATTTCTCGCCGGACCGAGCCATTACTGCAATTTCCAAAACGTTCTCGCCTTCTTGGAGCAGGCCCGTGAGGTCGATGGGCATGTCTTTTCCATAGTGGATCTTCTTCCGCGGTTCGAGAGGGGTGTCGTTGAGCGTGTAGTACGAGTGAGGTATCCAAGACGTATCGGCGACAGCCCAGCGTTCCTCCGTCCACTCAGGCTCCGGCCATTTGACGCAACGTAAACGAGCAAATTTCGTGGTCTCGTTGATGTTCACAGTACCAGGTCCACCCATTTGATCTGGAATAGTTTTCCCAATCCTCTGCATATCATAAGGTGTCAGGGTGATTGTCCATTTCTCAATCGCACGGCCTGGCGAGGACAACCGCGTTGGGGGTTTGAGGAAGTTTTGACAAAATGTGTACAGCGGCGAGGATTTGGATTGCGCACGAAGAACTGGACTTCTGAGATGAGCTTGGTGCAGCCCAAAGCGTGCTGGATTGGGTACACGCTGTTGTGGTTGTTGCCAGCCAGCAGCAGGAAGCAAGGGCACCCCACGTGGAGGCGGCGCCACCCCTGTAGATTGGGCAGGGCGTGCGGGAGGACGACCAGGCCCAGGCGACTGCTGTATAGCAGCTTGTGCCGAACCCTGGTCAACCGATCTAGTCGTGCGCGGTGGCATTTGTTGGGGATGATTGCAAGGCGGAACAGCGGGCGAGCTGGTCTGTACTCGTTGTGGTTGGGGCTGGGGCCGGGCTTGCACTTGCTGCGGTTGCGATGGAGGGGCCTGGTGGGTCTGTACCTGTTGCTGAGGTTGGGGAGCGCCGTACGTGTGATCAGCCAATGAAGCGCCGTTCTTGCGAAGGTTAGCCTCGAATGCCTCGACTAGCGCTCTCAGGTTAGAGCCCCAAATTCGTTCCTCGTCGTGTTTTAATTGTTGGCTCTGCTCAGGCGTCTCCGTAGCTGAGGAAGCATGCCGTGAGTAGTGGTAGTGTTGATTCTGCTCGAAGACACCAACTATGTCGTTCTCGAACTTTGCAAGCAAGGGTTTGACATTAGGATTCGAGACCACCGCGCGGCAAATACACCGCAGAAAAGCGGTGAAGAGCAGACGCTGGAAAGTGAGAGAATGAACGCGGAGTTCGACAACAAGTTCTCGGACGAGGGGCGGGAATCGACGGTGCTCGCATATCGCCTTCAGTTGGTCGTAGTTGGGCGACTGGTCAACAAACTGTCTGAAAAGCTGTGCTTGGTACTCGAATGTGGCCGGCCACATGGCTGCAATTTGCTGCATCGGGTATGGGAAATGGGAGAAGAAGTGAAGATAACTAGGCGATAGTATGTGGTTTGCATCAAGAACATCGTGCAATATCCTCTGCGCTTGTTGTAAACCTGGCAACGACTTCAACCCCGCCGGTAGCATGTGAGGGGCGTGGGTCATCAGGCAGTAACATTGATGCATAGTAAGATAGGGCCAGTCTGACAGCTCAACAGCGTTCTGCAGCACAAGAAAGCGTTTCCTGTCCTGAGAGGCAGGTGATATTGGGGGTGCTGATGCCTGGAATTGCCCTAAGATCTGCAGACAGTCTTTCTTTGTATACCAGCCCTGGCTCATGAAATCAGGGGCCAAGGGGGTTGTAGGCGTGTTATCAGGCTGTACGGAGCGAGATACAGGCCGGGATACTGGGTCTTGCGAGACTGCTTGTGGCAGCCCATAGGGCGAGTATGGCTGAGGAGGTGTTCTACTGAGGCGCGGATCTTGGAATTGCATGCCCTGGGGCAGTTGTGGCGATGCCATCATGCCGAGCGACGGGCTGCGATTAACGGTCTGACCCATCTGACCCAGCATAGGACTGCCGATCTGTGAGTAGTGGCCGGACGGTCGACGCGGAAGGTCCGGCGGAGGATTCGTCGGGTTTGCTACCGGCCCTGCATAAGCCTCACTGCGCCTCCGCTTGTCCATTTGTTGCGCATATCCTTCGTTGACTCTTTTTGCAGGAGCAGTCTCGTGCGGTGCTGGGGGCGGACAGCGCGATGTCTCCTCGCTTGGCGTGGGCGACGGAAGCACGCGGGCTGCCGAATGCCCGTGGTTGGCGCTGTTCTGGTGGGCGACGACATTTGGGAGCTGGGGAGACGTCGAGTTCGATAGTGGCTGCGGCTCGGTCTCGACGGTTGGGCGCGTGATCAGGTTCTCTGCGGGTGCGTATGTGGAGGAAGGAACAGTAAACCTGGGCTGCTTGCGAGGCCTTCCACGACCGCGCACGGTGAAGGGTAGTGGGTTTTGTGTGAGTTCGGCAGGAACGATGGGCGGCTGGGCAGGCGCGCTGGAGGGCAGCGGCGTCATCCAGCTCTTCTGTCGGCCCCCAAGGTTGCCCAGCGCATAGTTGAGCGTCTGGGCTGTCGCATCGTCTGGCACTCCGGGGGTCATGGCGTTACCCCAGGTGTGATACATGCCGCTTTGTTATGTTGTGTATATTCGCTTGAGGGTACGCGTTGGTCGCCTTCGAGTGCTGGACATGGGCGAGTTGGAATGTGGGGAGTTCATGTCGCGCAGGGAGATTGTGAGCGACTCAGTGCATGGTAGGCGCGGCGGGTCGTGGGTGCCGAATGTGGATGTAGAGGGAGAAGGAGTTTTCGCTGTCCAGGCTGCCGCGAGACACGTGAGAGAAGGCGCGACGGGGTGAGGTGAACGTCGGCCTCGCGATGGCAGTGAGCCCTCACGACACCCGATGGCATGGCGCACGGACAGCGATGTTTCGCGAACATGCCAGGTCGCTTTGGGCCAAGGCCATGGGCGCCGCCGGGGGCTCTGGACGCTGGACGGCAAATCGTCAGCGGCCAAGTCAGAACCGCTCCAGGGCTGCCCGCTGCCGTACAAACCCACTCTGCCAATAAGCGCAGCGCCTAGTCGAGATTTGCTTTGGAGCGCCCGGTGCGTCCGTGGTTTTGCCAACCGACGTAATTCATATCGCATGCAGGCTAGGTCGCCTACTGCTTCCAAGGATGCACATCGCTAGCTTCATGCCTCTCTGTCCCACCACCCAAGTATAGACACGACACCCCCGGCAGCCGCACGACGACGGGATCAAGCAATATACCTCCCCCCTCGCTCCAAACAACATCGCCACTTTGTTTCATTGCGCACCTGTCAGGCTGTTTCAGGTAGCGGTGGCTCGGTAGCCAGCATTTATAGTCTGCCAAACGTCCGACTGTTGCGCCCGCCTCGCCCGCCGATAGCGCGAACTCCCACGAGGATGAACCACCTGTACTGATCTGGAGACTGCCCGCATACACGCCCCCCGACCCGACCCAGTCTTGGAGAGCAGCTGTAAGCATGGCGCAACGAACCCACACCGAGGGCTGCCGGCCTGGCGATACCCTCGTCGTAGTGCGTATGTTTCCCCTCACCCGTGCTGCCACTGCGTCGCACATGCCAGCGACAGCTGCTGACAGCACTTGCAGACGAGTTCCTCGCCCGCAGTCCCGACGAGCTGAGCCTGAGGCGCGGAGACCGCATCGAGCTGATTGAGCGCGACGACGACTTTGGCGATGGCTGGTTTCTAGGCAAGAACACCGAGACGGGAGAGAACGGCCTGTTTCCTGAAGGTATGTTGCGCTATCGACGGCAGCACAGTAGTGCACATCCCCTATCTGATCGCCATGCTTCTTTTTGCGAGCAACACAGCTGATGTATATCAGTATACACACGGCCAGCACCCAAACCGACGCCCATCCCGACCATGCTCTCGCGCAATCCCTCGCAAATGTCCGTGCAATCAGAAAAACCATCGCCTCAGCCCGGCATGGCCATTTCTGAGCCGCCGACCACCGCCGCACAGCCACCAGCTTCCACGAGCGCCCCTCCACCTTTAAAGTCGGCACCCACAGAGCCCCTGAACATCGCGTCGGGACCAGAAGTTGCTCGCCGAACATCTATACAAAATGGCCCGCGGAGCATCAGCATGACGTTGAGCGGGGAGGCGCCACCAGAAGACGAGACGATAGGAAGCCCCGTCATGCACGAAACGCTGAGCGTCATCGACGAGCACATCACGGGCATGAGCACGCCGCGCCACAGCGCTGTGGGCAAGGAGATACGGTCCAATGACTCGGGAAGCGAATACAGCAGCCACCACCGGCTGTCATACATCAACGGGCAGGAGACCGATGAGGAGGAGCAGAGCTGGCACACCGAGGAGGAGGTCAAGACATGGTCGCCTGCGCGCGTCGCCGAATACCTCGAGGACGCGGGTGTGGAGAAGAAGCACTGCGATGTGTTCCGCGACCAAGAAATCGATGGCGAGGCGCTGCTGGGCGTGGACCGCAACTTCATCTTCATGCAGGAATTCAATCTGGGCCCCATGGGACCGCGACTGCGCACGTGGATGAAGATTAACGCCTTGCAGTCCGAGGTCAAGAACGCGAAGGAAGCCGAAGCTGCAAGGACGACCCTTCTCCTGCCGCCTTCAGAGAGCCCCGACGAGTTTCCAGCCGATATGGGAAGGAGCAGGGCTGCATCAACTGGGGCGGTCCTTCCTCGCATACCGACGCTCAGGGAAAGCATCGGATCCCGAGGCAACACCAGCCGTCAGCACATCCCACGTGCAGCCTCATCCGCCGGCCGATCGTCTACCATCGACGCGACCTCTCCACTGATCCAGCACACGCCCGCCTCACCTACGCCCGGTTCGCCTAGACGACCCTCCGCTGCTTCCGTCCGAAGTATGAACCACAGCAGACGCCACTCTTCTATCGAATACGGGCAGGGACCACCCACGCCTAGCACGCCCAGTTTAATGAAGCCGCCTACATCTGCACCCATGGCCGCCCACGCACACAGGAAGACGCCATCATTCGACCGCAACTGGACCATGGGTTCGACATCGCTGTCCAAGTCCGTACAAGATATCGGCAGACCGGTCTCATCACATCACCATCATGCTTCAAGTACCAACGGAACTACGTTCGATTTCCGCGAGGCCGGCTTAGGCTCCGGTGATCTTGACCGCGGCTACTTTTCCGGAGGCGAGGTCGACAACCGCAAGAGTAGCAGGAACGTTCTGCGCAAGAGAGAAAGCGCCGCGAGCCATTCACGCAATGCTAGTTACACGACCGAAGGCGCACAGCGCGCGTCGTTCAGTCGCCGACACAGCCGAATCGGCAGCGCAGATTCGGCTCTCCGGCCAGCGAGTCCAATTTCCGCTGCCGCGAAACAGTACTACGGTACCAGCACCAAAAGCGAGCGCAGCTCTAGTGCATTCGACTTTGTGCGCCCTCTCAAGCCAGCAAGCGAAACGCATCCAACCGTGACCAAGCTCTCATATGATGCGCACAGCATTGACGCCATTGCGAATTCGCCCCACGTCGCAGGTAGCGAGACCTCAAGCACAGGTCGTGCATCACCTTCGCCAGCTGCTGTACCATCTCATACGCGCTCGTTCTTCAGCAGTAAAAAGGGATCACAATCTAGGGGTCTTCGAGCGATATCAGACGCGATAACCGGCGGCGAGAAGGCGAATTTGAGCTCCGCGGATGTTTCCACTACACAACACAAGGACTCACCGATGCAGTCACCCTCGCGGACGGGATCTAGCACACCCTCTGGCACATCACTTTCGAAGAGTTTCGAGCTTGAAAAGGCCGATAATAACAGGCGGTTTACCGCTGGCTCGACCACGCCCAAGGACGCAAAGAAAAAGGCCAAGAAGCATGGCACTAGTGCATATCTCAAGGGCCGTCAGCAAATCACTCCCCAACAAGCCATGGAGAACTGCGACTATAGCGGCTGGATGAAGAAGAAGTCTTCGAGTCTTATGACGACATGGAAGACGCGCCTATTCGTGCTTCGTGGCCGCCGCCTGGCCTACTACTACACGGAGAATGATACCGAAGAGAAGGGTCTCATCGACATCTCATCGCATCGCGTGCTACCAGCGAACAACGAGAGGATGACAGGCCTCCATGCGTCTCTAACAGGTGCGGCCAACTCACCTACATCTCCGCACAATGCCACCATACAGACAACGGCATCTGCGGATAGCGCCAAAGGTATCCCAGGGCTGGAGGAGGATGTCTCAGGCATGTTCATCTTCAAGCTTGTACCACCTCGTGCAGGACTTCAGAAGGGTGTCCAATTCACCAAGCCCATCGTGCACTACTTCGCGGTCGATAGCCTTGCCGTGGGCCGACTCTGGATGGCTGCGCTCATGAAAGCCACAATCGACCGAGACGAAGCCCTTCCCTTTACGACCACCTACCAGCAAAAGACCATCTCACTGGAAAAGGCACGCGCGATGCGTCAACGGCCACCAAACCTCATGGACGAAGACGGAATCGAAGATGCCGAAAGGAAGAGCGAGATCTCGAAAGAGAGCATCCAAGAAAGCACCATTCACGAAGAAGACGAGAAGGGCCTCGCGATATCGGGACTCGATGATGCAAAAGCTCTGCTGGCGTACGCCGAGAGTCCCGAGGAACACAAACACGATAGCACCGCAACGGCGATTGCGATGTAGTCGACATAGTGTCGTGTCTCCTCTTCCCTCTCTTCTGATACCATCCCGTTCGATTTCAAGTTCAGTACATGCATTAATAGTTGCCCGCTCCGTATATTGCTACCATGGACATGATAGCAATTGCATCAGCGAGGCTTTGGGTCAGGCGTTCTTTCTAGCGATAGCGATAGCGAAACCTTTTTCTTTCCTTTTTCTCATCAATATACCGTCCTGAAGGTTGTCTAGGTAGTCATCCTTCATTACAACAACATACCCCTCTCTGTCCTGCTTTCATCGGTGGTTTTGCGATATAGTCATGCGCGCGTCATATACTGCATCTTAGCATTATCGATGATGAGAATCTTTACCTTCACCTGTCTTGCGCTGTCTGTTATCTATGATGGTAGAATGAAAGAGGATCTAGCGAAAAGCGAGGCTTTATAGCTTGTCTTTGTCGAGCGCGGATAGATGTAGTTAGTGCCTGTATGGAGGGATGAAATGTGTAATAGTACGATTGATAGACTGCGTTTTGGACTTTGAGTGACTGTGAGGTGTTTCAATGCGTGACATGAGATGCCCATCATAGCTTATGATCACAGAGGTTTGCTTCGACGTCGTCCAAGAAGAACATGACGGAACAGATACGCATTCACAGCGAACTCTCGACTTGTTGAAACTGTACATGTCAAGCTGCCTTTACTATAGGAGAATAATTCATTCCATCTGTGTTACGCATACTGAGCAAGTAAAGAGGTGAGGCATTTTTATCATCGCCAACTCCTATCACGACCGTGAAGTAGACGCAGTCGGTTTACCGCTAGCAACAAGTGAAGAAGGTCGAAGTTCAAAAGACGGCAATTCGGCCAGGAGCAGCAACAGTCAGGTTCCCACGTCAAGTACAAGGCCGACGAAGGACGAGCAGTTGCGAGATTGT